AATAGGGAAAGTGTGGTGTGATGTTGACTTGTGACCCTTCCCTGGGGAGCAAGCTGTGTCAGGGGACCGGCAGTGTTCCTGGAACGCAAAGTCTGTACTCTGTGCCTCCAGGTCCCAGACAGGGAAACTGGCTCCTGTATTTAAGAGATGACTGTCAATATTTTAGGATTTTTGCTTTTTGCAAATTTTCTCCTTAAGTTGGCTAAAGGTCGATAGATAAAGCTGCTTTTTGGTGTTCTACTTATCAACATCAAGAAACAAAAATCCTGACCGCTGAGACAATAGGCAACCTTATTATAGATGGAAAAAGGATTGAGGTGGTTAACTATTTAATCTTACTTGGATCCACAATCAGTACCCTTGGCACTAGCAGTCAGGAAATCAAAAGATGAGTTGCATGGGAAAAATTTGCTGTCAGGGACCTCTCCAGAGTGCTAAAGAGCAATCTTGTAACTGTAAAGACTAAGGCCCACCTGATCCAAGCAGTCATCTTAATTATTTACTGTGCATCTGAACATTAGACAGTGACTAAAGATTACAGAAGGAGAATCGAGTTTGATTGAGTTGTGGTGCTAGAGAAGAAAATGAACATCCCATAGACTGCCAAGAGAACAAACAGATCCGCCCTGGAAAAAGTGAAACAAAGGTATTCTTTGGAGGCAGAATGGTGAAACGTTGTCTCATGTACTTTAGGGGTGTTGTCAGGAGGGCCTGTTCCCTGGGGAAGGACATCATGCTTGGATGGGTAGAAGAGGAAGACCCTGGAAAGATGTATTGATACAGTCAGTGACTGTAGCAGTAGGGTCAGATGTGTCAGAGGTGGTGAGGTTGACTCAGTATAGGGCAAAGTTCAGATTTCATTGTTCATAGGGTTGCTATCAGTTGTAGTCAACTCAATCACAACAACAAAGGGAAATCACACAGCATATATTGAGTGAGTATTGGATACTGCAATTGTCTACCATCAATTGGATTCTGAATTACGTAGATTGCAAGAAAACCTAACTGTTCTTAGGGTTTCCAAAATTCAACATGGAACTAGACTGCCATGTTTTTCTCCTTTGGAATAGCAGGTGGATTCAAATCCCTGACTCTCTCTTAGCAGCTGGCACTTAACCCTTGTCCCACCACAGCTCATCAACATGTTGTTGTTGTTGTTATGTGACGTTGAGTCTCTTGTAACTCATAGCGACCCTGTGTACAACAGCCCTAAACTCTGCCCTATCCTGTGTCAATCTTATTGCCCCCAACACACCTATCCCCGTTACTCCAGTAATGGAATCAATCCATCTAATTGAGGGTCGTCTTCTCCTGTGCTGTCCCTCTACCCTCCTAATCATGACGTCCCTCTCCAAGGACTGGTTCCTCCTGTAACATGTCCAAAGTATGTCAGACGAAGCTTCAGAATCCTTGCCTCCAAGGAGCAGCCTGGCTTCACCCTCTCTAGGACGAACTTGTTTGTCCTTCTCTCAGTTGATAGCATATTTAGTACTCTTCTCTAGCACCAAAGCTTAAAGACATCAACTCTCCTTCTATCATTCCTAGTCATTGTCTAGCTCTCTGATGCATAGCAAGTAATGGCAAAAACCATGACTGTATTGGGCACACCTTAGTCTCCAGTCTGGCATCATTGCTCCTCAGTACCTTGGAGAGGTCTCTGACATCAGACTTTCCCAATGCAGTTTGTCTTTTAATGTCCTGGCTGCTAGTACCAAGAGTGTTGATTGTAGAATCAAGCAAACTGAAGCTGTGAACAATCTCAATCTCTTCACCATCTATCATGATGCTGCCAGTTGGCCCAGTGGTGAGAATCTTTGTTTTCTTGATGTTGAGCTTCAATCCATATTGAAGTTCCTGTCAATTCTATATGACCTGCAGCAACCCTTTAAACAGTTGATCTGAGTCTTCCCATATCTTACAGCATCGTCATGATCTTTGATGTAATTAAGCCCGTAGTTCTAGTCATTGTGTCAGTCCATCTTTTTAATTGTCTTCCTCTCTTCCTCTGACCCTCTGCTTTCCTTGCATGGTGTCTTTTCCCAGAGACTGGCTCCTTTTGACAGCTTTCCCAAAGTATGTAAGATAGAGTTTTCACTGGCATTGCCTCTCAGGAGCACCCTGCTTGCACTTCATTCAAGACAGATTTGTTATTTTGTCAACCTGTTGAATATTCAGTACTCTTCAGCACCACAACTCAACGGAATGGATTCTCCTTCTGTCATTATTATTCATTGTCCAACTTTGCATAGGAATGCATAGGAAATGATTGAAAAGACCATGGCCTAGATTAGATGCACCTTAGTTTTTAAACTAACAACATTGCTCTTAAACACTTTGGAGAGGTCACTGAAAGTAGATTTCCCTAAAGTAACACATCTTTGGATTTCTTGACTGCTGCTACTAAGAGTATTGACTGTGGATTGTAAAATTAAAATCCATCTTAATCTATCATGATATTGCCCAGTGATCTAGTGACAAGGATTTTTGTTTTCTTGTTGTTAAATGTAATAATTCAATCTATGCTGCAATCCCAGAGGCTTGTGGTTCGAGTCTACCACCTGCTCCGTGGGAGGATGGACGTATACTGCATTGAAACAGAGAGAACTGTTCAAAAGGAATATGTGATTAGGTATTCTTTTCATGACAAAATTACAGAAAAAGAAATGCATAGTAAAGTGGACTGTGGACTGGGGGATAGTATAACAATGAAAGAATTTTTTTTTTCTCGAAGAGATAACTAACTGAGGGGAGAGGTGGGCAGGGAGGAAAATGTTCAACAATGAATGAATGGGGAAAATTAAATGAAAGAATATGCTGTAAAAAAAATATATATATAATAAAAAATCATTAATAAAAAACCCATTTAAATAAAAAAAATTGTTGTGATCCACACAGTCGAATGCCTTTGCATAGTCAATGAAAAATAGACATTCCTTTGGTGCTCTTTGCTTTCAGTCAAGATCCATCTGACATTGGTGATAATATCTGTAGTACTCTGGCCTAGTCTAAACCCAGCTTGTATTTCTGGGAATTCTCTGTCGATGTACTGTTCCAGTCATTTTTGGATAATCTTCAATGGGCTTTTGCTTGAGTGTGGTATTAGTGATATTGTTCACTAATTTCTAGATTCTGTGGGTCATCTTTTTTTGTCATGAGAACTATGTTAAACCTCCAGAATTGAAAAAAAGCCAGTTGCTTTTGAGTCTGTTCTGACTCTTAGCCACTGCACGGGTGCCCGCCCGAGTAGAACTGCGTGCTAGAGGGTTTTCTGTTTCCTCTAAGGTTTTCAGTGGCTGATTCTTTGGAAGTAGGTCACCAAGTTGTCTTCTGAGGTAACACCTGGGTGTGCTCACAACTATGACCCTTGATTTGGAACCTCCAGGAACCCCCTAGGAAATTAGTGCTTAATAAAACATGTCGTAAAGACTTGTCTGTGGAGCTGACAGTTCCAAAGAGTGATCACTACTCCCTTCTAGAAGTTTTAGTGCTTTGGGTATACTGATTAGTGGAATGCACAGTAGTCTCATCACACTGAACAAACTGACCTTTACCTACCTGTGAGTTTGTGTCCTCATCAAACCCACTGTTGCAGCCTCTGTATCAGTCCACTTCTTTCTTTCAAACCCTCTACTTCACCAAGCATGATGTCCTTCTCCAGGGACTGGCCCCTCCTGAGAACATGCCCAGAGTATTTGAGACAAAGTTTCATCATCCTTGCTTCTAAGAACCATCTGACTGTAGTTCCTCCAAGATAAATGGAATTGTTGTCTTGGCAGTCTGTGGTATATTCAGTCTTCTTCACCATCACAAAACTCAACGGCATCAGTTCTTCCTCAGTCTTCCTTATTCATTATCCTTCTTCCACATACATACACTTTCTCGTTGCTGTGGAGTTGGAATCTGATCATTGCCGCCTCTCCTCTGGGTTTCTGAGACTGTCAATCTCACAGGAAGAGAGACTCCTTTTGTTCTTCCATATGGCCATTGGTGGATTTGAACAACTGGAGTTGAGGGCCTTAGGTTAGCAGTACAACTCCCTGCAGACTGTGCCTCAGAAGCTCCCCGTAAGGCCTGAAGCTGTGAGTTAATACAATTATAGGCTACTGAATGGTGCCCGACATCTTCGTTCTCCTTAAATATTAACTATTACAATACTCTTCCTTGCTTTATTTGTATTATTGTTGAACACTTGAAGGATCCATTTCTTGTCCCCTTGTGATACTGCAAAGCTGTGAGCCTAGTGACATACACTTTTATTGACTCCTTTCAGTACTCCATGCGGGTACAATAGGTTTCGCATCACTTAAACAGAATTGTTACTTCACAGTAGAAAATAGACGAAACAGAGGTAAGGTACTGAAAAAAAAAAGTAGCTTCAGTTCAGGATGGAGTTTTTTTCCCTTGTCATTCTCAGCATTTAGCTTGTTCCTTTTTTCTTTCTTACTGGATCTGACAAACTCTTCTCCCACATACACCACAAGTGTGAGCATCATTTATCAGAAAATCTTAACAATTTCAGGAGGTTGTCTCAGACCCTGTTTCCTTCTAGACCAATAGGGGAAGGGGATTGTGGGCATTAGATTAGATCCGTCAGGGTATATCTCAGCACACTACAGAGTGAGTCATGAGTTGGTTGCCATCAATATTCCTCCCTCTCCCAAGTGCAAGGAAAATTGACCAGTGGAGAAGGGATCTTTGGTTTCAACCACATTTTCTCTGCTTTCTCTTCCATCTTATTAGCAACTGTAGTACTTATAAACCTCATCTTCACCTCTCAGCATTCAAATGTTTAAGGGAAATCAAAAGTCATCCCCTAGTGGTAAGAGGTTGGGACCCAGCTACTCAATTAAAAAAAAATGTCGTGGGTTTCCTGGTGATGGCTGTCACTGCCAGAGGAGGGCCTCTGCCATCCTCCTAGCAGCCGGATCTGGAGAAGGACTCCCACAGAGTCTGTGTGCATCACCTCATGTCATAAAACATTGTGTTTCTCCTTCTCTTAGGCTGGAACAAGACATCAAAAAGTTAAAAGCTGACCTGCAGGCCAGCAGGCAAGTGGAACAAGAGCTGCGAAGTCAGATCAGCTCCCTCTCAAGCACCGAGCGAGGAATCCGCTCAGAAATGGGCCAGCTGCGGCAGGAGAATGAGCTGCTGCAGAACAAGTATGTGCTATTCAGGCCTTGCGTGTGAGCCCAGCACCCCACTCTTCTTTCCAGGGGTTAGAGCACAAGATGTGGTGTAACAAGGGGTTCTCTTCTTACTAGAGGGATTGTAATGTAAGATGTTTGAGATACTTAAAACCCTGGTACAAACATGGAGGTAAAACATAGAAAAAATTACTTTGAGGACAAGAAAACATTATTTCCCCCCCGTCATTTAAAATAGTTTCTGAGCTTTTGTGATAATAGAGATAAAATTGTCCAGAAATAGTGCTGTCATAATTTGAAAATCTTCCTCCTGTGAGCGAATGTTTACAGAGGATTGCACTATATTTAATTTGACTTCTAGGAGTAAATGATGTTGAACTTCAGTTTTATTTGAAGAGTCAGTCTAAAAGCCAGCTCTTCTTGTGAATTCTTTTAAGCTTTCTATTAATTTATTCTGGAATTAATTCTTAATGTATGTCTGGTTTTTGTTTTGTGGTTAAGTTTTTTTAAAATATGTAGGCCGTGTGGATTGACTCAGTGATTAGAAGAGTGGGAATAGGTCTGTGGGAGATGATGAGACTGGCTCAGGTTCGGGCAGGTTTCAGAACCTATGTACATAGGGTTGCCATGAATCGCAGGCAACTTGATGGTGCATAACAGCAACAACAACAACATCAGGCAGTGTGTGTCTGTGGAAGTGACAGATATTTACAGCCTCTGGACTTTCCATGTTGAAAGTAAGTAATCTGAAAGTGGAAGTATTATGGGCAAATAACCTTGCCACTTCTTCTTGTCACCTTTTGGTGATACCTCTAGCATTGGTACCTAGAGAATGTCCAAAAACTTACACTCACTTGATGTAGCTGGAATTAGAGTAGGCTAGGAATGGAGTATTTTTGAAGTTTTTATCGAAAATGAAGCACATTGTGACTCTTAAGATCTATTTTGGGATGCTCTAAGAAAACATCTCACAGCTGGAAAGCACAGGCTGCAGTAGGTTTTAGCAAACTTGTTTTCGGGGAAAGAGCTTCCCCTCCCCGTCCTTATATTGGTGTTGGTAGAGCTGGACCCATTAATGGGTCCTTGGTAGGAATGATGCATAGTACCCATTGTGCTTTGGGGCATGAGAAATAGTTTATATTATCCTATTTTCTGATCTACCCTCTACAGATCATTTACCTTAATAAAATAAGAATTGAGTCTGATTCTGTATCTTATAAGGCAGCTTTTTTATTGGTGTTTAGGAATTGTTAATTAACTGATATGTTTCCTCTGGGAATTGACATTTATAGTTTGCTGTTTAAGCTTCTTGTTTACTTTGTGTTACAAAATGATAAATAAAAGCTATATTTCTACAGATAATGAAAGAGAGTGTTTATAATGGTAAAGTGCTGTATAACAATCCTTTCCATATAGGTTACACAATGCTGTGCAGATGAAGCAGAAAGACAAGCAGAATATCAGCCAGTTGGAGAAAAAGCTGAAAGCTGAGCAGGAAGCACGAAGCTTTGTAGAAAAGCAGTTAATGGAAGAGAAAAAAAGAAAGAAGTTAGAGGAAGCTACTGCTGCTCGGGCTGTTGCCTTTGCTGCTGCATCTAGGTATGCTTACATCCCTCAGTATTTAATCCACGGCTGGTTTTCCTTATACCAAGACACAGAATCTGACACCTTGGGCAAGACTGAAAAGCCAAAGCTCATGCATGGATAGGTTGTTTGTAAGTACTGTTTCACTGGCTGGCTTAAATGCCATCTGTGTAGCCTTCTACTTGCTTACTGCACCTTCCTCTCTCCGTGCCTCTTCTGTAAAGTGAATGAGGGACTCATCAAGCTGCCTAGATTTGCGAGCCAAAGTGCTGCTCATAAAAAAGTCTCAAATCACTTTCTTTAATATTGATGATTACTAACTGCTTTGAGAGAATTTGATTAAGGAAAAAGTTCATTCGATCTAGAACTTGATCCCCTTTGTATTTCTACAATTACTGTTCACTCTTAGGTGTATATGAGCCCTGGTGGTGTAGTGGGTAAGCACTCAGCTGCTAACGGAAACGTCTGTAACTCTAACCCTGCCAGCCACTGTGCAGGAGAAGGGACAGTCTGCTTGCACGGTGATTCCTGCCTTGGAAGCCCTATCAAGCATTCCGCACTGTCCTGTGCTTTGCTTTGAGTCAGGCTGAACTCAGAGACAGCAGGTTTGATTTTGGTTCTGGTGCAGGTACGTAAGATCTCTAGGGTCTTATCTTAAAAAGGAAGAAAGGAGAATCTTGGGTCCTGATCACTCATGTCTTTGTTGAGTACCAGCAAATGATCAAATGAACTGATATGAAAGATGAGAAGTAAGTAAACCTAACGTTCTACTAGAAAACATTAAACCTGTGGAGTGATGACAATTGGAAACTACCTCCTAAATCTTTGAGGAGGACTCGTGTATGCAAGGATTCCCACACGGATTTGTAACGGTCATCCAAATTCCAGCAAGAAGATAAAGGTTATTCTTTTATTTGTATCTACTTCACTTTGTCTTGGGGTTTGTTTGGTGTTTTTTTTTGTTTTTTTGACAAGTGAAGCCTGTGGTAGAGGTCAGGTTGTGGGTTTGCAGATGCAGAATGGAGTAAATTATTACTTAACTTTTAACTTCCGTTCTAACTTTTATCTATTTGGTGTTAGTAAACTGTAATTCTTCATGAGTTTTGATACATTAAACAAGTAATTTACTTGTCAGCCTTTGGCATGCTAATCGCCTTCTTTTGATTCAGGCATTTGTAGAATAATTTGGTGAGTCGTCGTTTCACCTTTTGGGAAGTAACAGCAAAAGTGAGCACTTTTCCCATGTATAGCCCTGACTTTACAGCAGAGACCTCCTCAGATGGAAGAGCTCACTTGGCCCCATTGTCATCTACACAGAAAACCAAGGCCCCCTACAGGCCTGCCTGTGTTGTGGGCTTTTTTGTTGCTATTTATTGCCTTCCCCCCTTACCCCTAGCTTTAAATATTTCTTTTTGGGATTTAAAATTCTTTTTCATTATTCATATACATTGTATTTTATGCAGTCATTCATATGTGTTGTGTTTTATGTAAATATTTACTGTTAATAGTACCTTTTGTCATGGCTTCTCATCAGGTCCCCATTGCACCTTGCCTATTCCTTCGCTCCCCCCACATCTGTCCACGAATCTCTGCTGCCCTAAGTTTGCCCCTTCCCTTTTTGAACAGCTGTCAGTATCTTGTTCCTGTGTGCTAACTGCAGTAGCCATACTGTCATTCTTCCCAGGTCGCTCCTCCCTTGTCCTGATCCTTTGCAGTGTTTGTGATCTGTACATTCTCTTTCTGCTCTCTCTGTCCCTCCACCCCCTCCACCTACCTACCTACCTGTTTTCACGGGAATGATGTTATGCAGTAATCATCCTTTTGTGACTGAGTTATTTCACTCAGCCTAACATCCTCTGGACTGTCCCATGAACTTGTTGATTTTTAGTACTGTATAGTAAGTATTCTGTTGTGTGAATGTGCCACAGTTTTCTATCCATTTGTTTGTTGATAGAATTTGGGCTGTTTACGTTTTCTTGCTGTTAAGAATAATGCTCTGTACATATGTGTGTGCGCGCGCGCGCGCGCGCGCGCTCACACGCTTGCTCCATGCACGTGCCTCTGCTCAGATTTCCTTGGAGTGTATTGCTAGTAGTGGAATAACTTGGTCATATGGAATTTCTATAGTCATTTTTTGAGGAACCACCAGACTGCCTTCCATATGTGGTTGTACCATTTAACAGTCCCACTAACAGTGCGTGAGCGTTCCAGTC